TTTTGGTCCGGTAGTGGGGCCTGAACTCTGGGCCTGGACGCTATCCCTCAGCTCTTCAGCTCAAGGCTAGCGCTCTAGCGCTTGAGCCACAGCACCACTTCCGGTATTTTTCTTTTTGCTTATGTGGTGCTGAGGAATCGAACCCAGGGCCTCAGGCATACAAGGCAAGCACTCTACCACTGAGCCACCTTCCCAGCCCTCCATCTTTTCTTGTTGTTGCTGTTGTTGTTGGTCGTGGGACTTGAACTCTGGGTCTGGGTGCTGTCTCTCAGCTCTTCAGCTGTGGATTAGTGCTCTAACACTTGAGCCTCAGCCCCATTTCCAGCTTTATCTGCTTATGTGGTGCTGAGGAATGGAATCGAGGGCCTCATGCATTCAAGGCAAGCACTCTACCACTGAGCCACCTTCCCAGCTCCGGGGAACTCCATGTTGATCAATGCCTAGGCATGGTGATATGTGCCTTGTCATCCCCAGTGTCATGGGGAAGCACAAGCAGGAGGACTGGCCGCCCATACCAGGCATAAAGTGAGTCCCTATCTTGAAAATAATACACATAGGCTGAGCACCAGTGGCTCATGCCTATAATCTTAGCTACGCAGGAGGCAGAGATCTGAGGAGGTAAGGAAATGTAGCTCAAGCAGTATTGTGCCGGCTAAGAGCAAGCAAGCCAACCCAGAGCACAAGGCCTTGAGTTAAAGCCCTGGAACAGACAAAAGAAAGAAACTTAACACAAAAGAGGTTGGAGCCATGGCTTAAGTGGTAGAGTACGGGTTTAGCAAACATGAGGCCTGAAGTTCAAAACCCCAGTAAAATTAGTTTGAGTTAGCATCCATTGGTTGTACAAAATAGATACCTCCACAGGGAAGCAACTGGGTCTTTAAAGATACCTCAGTATTTCTGCTGGAAGAATTTTTGAGAGGTTAGAGGCATGGCTCAGTTGATAAAGTGCTAGCCAGTGAGCGAAAGCGTCAGGTACCAAGTTCAAATTTTGATCTTGAACTTAGAAAAAAGGGAACAAAAGAATTCTGACCCTGTCTTCATATATGCCAAACCATTGGAAACTAATCAAAATATGTCAACTGCAGGGTTGAGTATTCTATTTCTGGGAATCCAAAATGAGATGTGGAAAATTCGACATCTGATGTGATGTTCAGGCACCTTAACAATACTGTATAAAATCACCGCCAGGCTATATTTATAAGGTATAGGTGAAGCAAATGAGTTTCATGTTTGGACTTAGTCTATCCCCAGAATCTCATATATATGGTACAGATATTCTGAAATCTTTAAAAAAAAAAAAAAGGATCCTGAGATTGGAAAACACTTCTAATCTCAGCATTTGGTAGCCAAGTATATTGCCTGAGAACTAGGTGTGAACCACATGTGTGGGAGGGGAAAGCAGGGAGTGAGGCAGTGGCATGGAGGACTAGAGGTTTCTCCAGGCCTGGCTGTGGAGTGAGGCCAGCAAGCAGAGAAGCAGGTCAGGAGACATGCATCTTCCAGGGTCAAGCCCCTGGGGAGAAGAGATGTCCTTCCTGATCATAGTGGACAGTAGTGAAGACCTTTGCCAGTGCAGCTAATGCTTTGTAGAAGTCCTGCCTGTAACCAAGGATTTGAAAAGGCCATTCAAGCTGGGAATGTGGCTTAGTGGTAGAGTGCTTGCCTAACATGCATGAAGCCCTAGGTTTGATGCCTCAGTACCATGTAAACAGAAAAAGCTGGAAGTGGCATTATGGCTCAAGTGGTAGAGTGCTGGCCTTGAGCAAAAGAAGCTCAGGGACAGTGCCCAGGCCGTGAGTTCAAGCCCCAGGACTGGCAAAGAAAAATAATAAAATGAGTGAATCTGCCCCAAAGCATATCTTGAGGCTTGGATGGAGAGTGCCCTTGTGATCAAAGGTACTGCTCACACCAGGCATGTGGCCATATGTGACTTAGTGGTACAAGTAGCTCTGGCAGGCAAGGCCTAGGCTTCCTTTGGCTGTATGGGTTGGTATGTGCTCCTCTTGGGACTCCCCCATGTCCTACCAGGTCAGGTGGGAACATGGTTCTTCTGTCCTGTCTTGGGGAAGGTGGTGGCAGCCCTTACTGACTTGGTTTCTCTGTTCCCCTTTAAAAGAGGAAGTAATAAGGGACAGATTACAGGAGGAAGATCCTAGAGTCTATTCTTACTCCCTCAGTGTGTGGCTGAGGGGTCAAATAACCAACTTTAGGTCATTAGCTGGCGTAGCCTCCAACCCACAGGATGGGTAGAACATAACAGGTCATCCCATTTGTGACTGCATGTGAGTCTATCACTCCAAACCAAACATGATGAGTGTATATGCTTGTCTTGTTCCCGTCAGTCCCGCTGGTGGTGAAATAGACCTACAGTTGGCCAGATTAAATTCTGCCACACCATCTTCCCACTGGAGGAATACCAACCTTCCTTATGAAGAAATGAGGTTCACATCTAGGAGGTCGCTCAAATAGTAGAGCACCTGCCTAGAAAGTGTGAGGCTCTGAGTTCAAATCCCAGTACTATCCCCCCCCAAAAGAAATGGGCTTCAGAATAGTGGCAGAAAATAGATGAAGAGTTTATAGCTGCACACAGATTTCAAAGCACCAGTGGCTGGAAACAGTGGCCATGTCCCAAAATGTCTCCATATTTTGGGAGCCTGCTCCTTGCTCTCCTATTGTGGGTGACATGCAGCAAATGCCAGTTGTCACTGGAACAGAATAGGGAAGTGTGCTGGCACAGGGTACCCACTTGGGAAAAACACACAGGTTATCTTGCCTTTTGTAGGCCACATGCGAGCGAGGCTTTGCTGCCATGGAGGAGACTCACCAAAAGAAGATTGAAGACTTGCAGAGGCAGCACCAGCGGGAGCTGGAGAAGTTGAGAGAGGAGAAGGACCGCCTCCTAGCTGAGGAGACCGCGGCTACCATCTCAGGTAGGTAGGAGGGGGCACTCAATTCAGAGATGCCTACGTCCACTGCCTTGCAACCAAGCTTGAAGTTTAATTTGGACAACAGCAGAGACAAGGAGCCTTTCCAGAACAATTGAGAGCCAGCTGCCTGTGACATTGCAGGACCAGCTCTCCACCTCTGTCGGACCCTCTGACAGACACTTGTGGAAGAAACACATCCTGGCCTGAGCACATGGATGCCATCCCTTCTCCCGTTTTGTCACAGCCTTGAGTGGTGTGTCTTACCATCTGCTGTTGCTGTGTAGTGGCATCATGGTGGGACATTATTGTAGTGTCAACAAAGAAAGTGTGCCACTTGCTTGTTTTACAAATTTATCTAATTGGTTTTGGGTTTTCTAACACCAGAAATAATATGCCTATAGTCCCCTGGAGAGAACTGGTATGGAAATTCTCCCCGTCTGTGTATCCCTGAGAATGGGTCTATGAGAGACCAAGCTTATCCTGATGGCAGTGGTGGATGAATATTACACTAGTCTATCCTCCTTAGTCTCTTGGGAGGAATGACAGTAGGAAGGGCCACCACAGTGTGCAGCTGCAGCCCTGGGTGCTGAGGGCCTTGTCCTCTTTACAGCCATTGAAGCAATGAAGAATGCTCACCGGGAGGAGATGGAGCGCGAATTAGAGAAGAGCCAGCGGTCCCAAATCAGCAGCATCAACTCTGACATTGAAGCCCTTAGGCGGCAGTACCTGTGAGTTGCCTTTCCCTTCAAGTACCTGAGGATAGCTAGGGGTGGCTAGGAGTCGAGAACCCTGCCTTTCTGAGAATGTGAACCTTCGGGCTGGTCCCAGAGAGGCTATGAGGCCTTGGTGCTAAGTCAGCCCATACCACCCTCCTTTCCATAGGCAGACATGGCCTACTGGAGCTTCCTGTATTAAAACAAAAAGTAATCATTAAATCCAAAGAAAAAAGTACAATAAATTATTTTTTTATTTAATAAACTTTATTCTCATGGCGGGGAGGGGGAAGGAAAAAGGCCACCTACTTGGTTCCTCTTAGTAACACTCGACTAATTTTCAGGCCTTAAGCAGACCACGGGCACTTGAGGCAGTATTTCTATTTCCTTTTAGTCCTGTCTGCTTCCCCTTCACAGGAGGGAATTATAAATGACATTTTAAAAGCCTAGCTTGTCCAAGGCAGATTACCAAGATCAACTAGTTCTGCATCAGTGCTACTTTGTCATAAGGGGTTGAGAGCCTGGCCAGGGCTTGGTACCCAAGGCTCCATGGCTCTAAAAACCCCATATGTGTCAGACACTGGTGGCTCACACCTGTAATCCTAGCTACTCAGGAGGCCAGGATCTGAGGATCGCAGTTCAGAGCCAGCTCAGGAAGGAAAATCCTGGAGATTCTTATCCCCAGTTAGCCATCAAAAAACCGTAAGTGGAGCTGTGGCTCAAAGTGATAGGGTGCTAACCATGAGCAAAAGAGCTCAAGGACAGCATCCAGGCCCTGAGTTCAAGCCCAATGACTGACCAAAAAAAAAAAATATATATATATATATATATATATATATATATATATATAAGCAGAGCCCCTCTGAAAAGGGATTTGTCAGAGCTAGGTACACACATTGGGAGCGGTGAATGCATTCAGGCCCAGGCCACAGTAGCTCATATGGCATGTATGTTCACTTGATTGGGCTGATGACAGAGTTGAGGCTTTCATCCAGAAGTCTTCAGCTTCTGCTCCATCCACAGAACATGGCCCTTCTGGATCCAGGGTGGCTGAGAATAGCATCCTGAGGGCTGTTTTCCTTGTGTGGTTCCTGGGCTTTCAGATGATACAGAAGATGGAGTTCTAAAAATAGTTCTCAAATGAGAAGAGTCCCATCCTGACTTCTCAGAAACAGATGTCTGTGTTGCCATGGTAACTAGATTCTGTTCAGAGTGGTATCACCAGAGAGGTGCCATTTGTGGGAGTCCCAGCAGTACAGCAGAGCAGGCTAGACATGGAATCAGTTGTGCAAAGCACTTCTAGCACAGGGCTAAATGTTGCTGTCTCTGCAGGGAAGAGCTGCAGTCAGTGCAGCGGGAGCTGGAAGTCCTCTCGGAGCAGTACTCACAGAAGTGCCTGGAGAATGCACACCTGGCCCAAGCGCTGGAGGCCGAGCGGCAGGCCCTACGGCAGTGCCAGCGTGAAAACCAGGAGCTTAATGCCCATAACCAGGTAAGCCCAGGCTGGGTTAGGCTTCATCCTTAAGATTATCCTGAGGTTCTCTGTGACAATGAAGTAGATATCCCATCCCTACAGCATGTCCTGGATACCTAGTATGTGGCCTTCTTGCTATTCTCTGTCTGTTGCCAGAAGCTCTTTGCAGTTCACATGAGGCTGCCCTGCCACAGTGAAACCAGGTACTAGAGTCTCGAGCCACTTCCTTCAGCCCTTTCAGGACCCTAAGTCTGGTGGCTTCTCTGAGCCTCCAGTTCATTGCTGAGCATAGCCTGTGGCTCGTCCCCAGAGTCAGAATATTCCATCCTGGGCTTTACATTTATAAGTATCAGATCATTCTCATAGAATTTGCTATTTCTCCCATCCAGGCCCGACCCTGCTCAGCTTCCAAGATCAGATGAGATTGGGTGCACTCAGGATAGTATGGGCATCGATTGGGGAAAGGGAGAGGCTTGGAGGCAATAACATTGGGTCCTGTGTAAAGTTCTCTGCTGGCACCAGATTAGATTGCTGTACCAGCACCATCCTGTTCTCCTCCTTGGCCCCCTGAGCCCACTGACATGCTACATGGGATCATGCATGAGGCTGCCCAGGCACCATGACTACAGTGGCTTGAAGATTTCCCCTTGTCAGCCAAAAAGAAAATTCAGGAAGTGGGAAGGTTGGCCAAATCCTGTAGGAACTTATATGTGACAAACCATGACACAGGGAAACATTGTTAGTAATAGCAGAAAGGTATGAAAGCTTATGCTATAAAGATGCAGTCAGCTCTTTGCATCTGCTGGTTATGCATCCACAGATTTGACTAAATGTAGGTAAAAAATACTTAAGGGGAACAAATTGTATCTGCAATGTATAGACTTCCTTGTACTCTTCCCTAAACAATGCAAACCAACTACACATAGGGTATCTCCATGATACCCAGTATCATACAAAATAATATTTATCAAAACGAACTCTAAGAAATGGAAACAAGAAGGGTTTTTTTTTTCTTTTTTGCTGTTTTTTGGGGGGTTTTGCCTGTTTATTCATTTATATATAAGAGGAGGCACAGAAATGGAGAGATAATGGATGAACGAATTCAAAAATGGTACTCACTAGAAAATGAACTATACAATTTGTAGGTGGGAGTGGGAGGGAAAAGCTGGGAGAGAGCAAGCGAAGGTGTGACATTGTCCCAAAAGAAATGTACTCTTGGGCTGGGAATGTGGCTTAGTGGTTAGAGTGCTTGCCTAGCATGCATGAAGCCCTGGTTTCAATTCCTTAGTACCATATAAACAGAAAAAGCTGGAAGTGGCACTGTGGCTCAAGTGGTAGAGTGCTAGCCTTGAGCAAAAAGAAGCTCAGGGACAGTTGCCTAGGCCGAGTTCAAGCTCCAGGACTGGCCAAAAACAAAAAGCCGGGCGCCAATGGCTTACACCTATAATCCTAGCTACTCAGGAGGCTGAGATCTGAGGATCGTGGTTCAAAGCCAGCCTGCGCAGCAAAGTCCATGAGACTCTTACCTACAATAAACCACCAGAAAACCAGAAGTGGTGCCATGGCTCAAGTGGTAGAGCGCTTGCCTTGAGCTGAAGAGCTGAGATACAGTGCCCAGGCCCAGAGTTCAAGCCCCATGACCGGGGAAAAAAAGAAATGTACTCTGACTTATGTAACTGTAACCCCTCATAATACTCCTCATAATAACAGTAAAAGATTTTTTAAAAAGACTATGGAGGGGGGATGTGCATTGGTTCCATATAGTACCATACTACTTTTTTTAGTGACTGCAGCCTCCACAGATTCTGGTACCTCTCACGAGTCCTAGAGCCAGTCCTCAACCAATACTAAACAATACTATATGCAAATATCCAGGCAATAGCTTTTAAGAGGCTATATCACACAGCCTTAAATGCTGTACCTCACACATGGTAATGTTAAATACTCCTAGCTTTGCTGCTGCTGTGTCTTTGCATACTGTTGGGAGAAATGACCTTCCCAAGTGCAGGGGTAGCTCTGTGGAAGGTCTCTGTTCTGTTGTGTTGCTGTTCCTTAGGAGCTGAATAACCGCCTGGCTGCGGAGATCACAAGGTTGCGAACACTGCTGACCGGGGATGGTGGTGGGGAGGCAGCTGGATCACCCCTCACACAGGGCAAGGACGCCTACGAGTTAGAGGTAATGAACCAGGCCTCACATTACATCCTAAACAACAGAGTGAAATCCTATTTCAAAAAATAGAGGGGAACAAAGTGATTCTGATGTCAGATAGGCACGTAGTTTTCTCCCATTAGGTTAAGATATTTACCAGTAGGTTAAAATTTCACCACATAATGAAGACTATACTGCACAGTGGAGAAAATCAGCTAGGTAAGTATGGCAGAAGTTTCCACCAGAACAGTGTATCCCATGTCTTGTAGCTTCCATCCAGGAGACCAACAGGTCAGCAGCACTTAGGTCTTGAGACTGAAGCATACAATTGTTGGGACTGGGGAGGATGGTAGTTGTTTTTTCCTTCTTCCTAGTTCTCTTCATAAAGAGGAAGCTTTATGCAATCTGAAAATTCTATTTTCTGTTGGGTACTGGGCTCCATGGTACGTAGAGCAGCCATCCATTTGGCCGAAAGTCATTTTTTTTCTCTCTCTTGCTCTGTCGTCCTAGGTCTTGTTGCGGGTCAAGGAATCAGAAATACAATACCTGAAGCAGGAGATCAGCTCTCTCAAGGACGAACTCCAAACGGCACTTCGGGTAATGACCTCACTACTAGAGTTGGGCAAGGAGGTTGTGTTCCCTGGCTTGGCACTGCCAATCTGGAGTTTTACTTTTTTAAGGGGTCAGTGTTCCAAAGTCAAGCTCTAGAAGTGAGCAGCCCACCTGGCATGGCCATCTGGTTGTCATTTCATGTTTCTGGGTACTTGAGCAGGAGCAATGATAGCCAGAGAAATGTTCTAGGGGGTAAAAGGAAAGCCTTGTCTTCCATCCAGAATTAGGCCTGACTTGGCTCCTCTAGGAGATTCCTGGATTCAAAAAGAGGGAGGCAGGCCGGGCATTGGTCGCTCACACCTGTAATCCTAGCTACTGAGGAGGCTGAGATCTGAGGATCTCACAGTTCAAAGCCAGCCCAGGCAGAAAAGTCCATGAGACTCTTATCTCCAATTAACCACCAGAAAACCAGAAGTGATGCCGTGACTCAAGTGGTAGAGCGCTCGCCTTGAGCTGAAGAGCGCAGGGACAGCGCCCAAGCCCCACGACCAACCAAAAAAAAAAAAAAAAAAAAGGGAGGCAATGGAATTTTTGACACAGGATTTTCCTGGCTGAGCCCACTAGATGTACAGTCAAGGCCACACCCAGCAGGCAGAGGTCTATCCTTTTACACCGACTATCCTGTCTGCAGGGCCCATTTATTTTTCTTCATACTCAGTTTCTGCCTTCAGAGAAGGTCCATGCGTTCTGATACTGCACAGGAGAACAGTAAGTTTCCCAGCTGTAGCCAGGTCTCCTCAGAAAGGTGTCGGCCCTAAGATGGGTATTGGTAGAAGCTGGGAATTGATAGAAGCCTTTTCCTCTAGCCATTGCTGTCATTTGCTTCTGTTCCTCATTTCCTAGGACAAGAAGTACGCGAGTGACAAGTATAAAGATATCTACACAGAGCTCAGCATTGCCAAGGCCAAGGCTGACTGTGATATCAGCAGGCTGAAAGAGCAGCTAAAAGCAGCTACAGAAGCGCTGGGAGAGAAATCCCCTGAGAGCACTGCTGTGTCGGGATATGGTTAGTGCTTTGAACGATTGCTTCTGGGGCTCCTTGGATTTTAGTCACAATGTAAGGATCCTGATCGTAGATCTCATCTTCTTGTAAAGCAGGAATGCAGGAGAGGGCCCTGCATGTGTCAGCTGCCAGGTGCTACCTTTTTTTCTGCATCTCAGAGTAAATGCTCTGAGAAGCTGTTCCATCAGCACATTTCCATAGTAAAATCGTTTTGTCTGTTTTCCAGAAGAACTCTACAACTGTGTGGAAGCTCTTGCTGGTTGTTTAACTACAGGTTTTACCATAAAATCTGAAAAAGCCCTGCATGAGGTAGAGGAGAAAGCACCTACCTTCTCCAGTAGAAAGCAGGACTGACTCTTCTTCTCTAGATTGGCTAAAAACATAAAGGTGCTATATAGGACAGACCACCAAGAGGACTACAAAGCCACACCTTGTCAGATACTTTCAGAAATCCATGATTCTTATTCTTTCTGACCTTGAAAGTGATTTTTTTTTTCCTGGTCCTGGGGCTTGAACGCAGGACCTGGACACCATCTCTGGGCCTCAACCACTTGAGCCACAGCACCACTTCCAGCCTTTTCTGAGTAGTTTAGTGGAGATGAGTCTCAGACTTACCTGACCAGACTGGCTTTGAACCGCACGCAGTCCTCAGATTTCAGCCTCATGAGTAGCTAGGATTACATGCATGAGCCACCATCACCCAATTCATAGTGATTTTTTTTTTTTTTTGGTCAGTCTTGGGGCCTGAACTCTGGGCCTGGGTGCTGGTCCCTCAGCTCTTCAGCTCAAGGCTAGCACTCTACCACTTAAGCCATAATTCCACTTCTGGCTTTTTCTGCTTATGTGGTACTGAGGAATTGAACCCAGGGCCTCATGAATGCAAGGCAAGCACTCTACCACTGAGCCACCTTCCCAACCCCTCATAGTGATTTTTTTTTTTAGCTACCCACAAACATAGGAAAATCTGTTCAAGCTCTCCAATATAGTATCCAAGGAAGTCAGCTTCTCTCATTAGCAGCCCAGGAGCAATAGCCATGGCAACACTGGCACAACCTATGAGAAGAGCCCTTGGCATGACCTCTGGAAGGTTGTCAGGATATACAGCAATATGGCCTACTAAGGTGCTACAGCAGTGGCTTCTGAGGTGGACTTAGAGTGAGAGAATGTGTGTGTCTTTAATCTGTTTTTTGTTTTGTTTTGTCGGTCATGAAGCTTGAACTCTGGGCCTTGGAGCTGCCCTTCAGCTCTTCAGCTCAAGGTTAGCGCTCTATCACTTTGAGCCACCTTAACTTTCATTTTCTGGTGGTTTATTGGAAATAAAGAGTCTCATGGACTTGCCTGCTCAGGCTGTCTTTGAACCGTGATCCTCAGATCTCAGCCTCCTGAGTAGCTAAGATTACAGGTGTGAGCGTCTGGCTGATCTGTTTTGATACCTCCAGAAACTGCAAACACAGAATGTGAACAGAGCGCTGATCATAGAAACAGTAACCTACCATAAGCACAAATCAGGATGTGTGAAATGCACATGGCCCAAGCACATACATAATAGAAGATAATGCAGGTAAAAAAGGTCAGGAAGATGTTTTGTGTTGACCTAGAGAGCGATCCATAAACATATTAAGTAAAAATTGAAAAAAGCCTATTGCAGTATGACTGAGTGTTTGTTTTGTCCAGCCTTGTTGGGCACTGGCTATAATCACACCTGTAATCTCAGCTACTCAGGAGACTGAGATCTGAGGATCACAATTTGAAGCCAGCCCAGGCAGAAAAGGCCATGAGACTACCAGAAAACTGAAGTTTTGCTGTGGCTCAAAGTGGTAAAGCACTAGCCTTGAGCAAAAAGAGCTCAGGTACAGTGCCCAGGCCCTGAGTTCAAGCCCCAAGACCAACAAAAAAGAAAAAGCCTTGATCTGACCTTGTCATCAAGGAGAAACAGTACACAAATGAGTAATGGTGCAAATTAGTCTGCCTAGCAGATAGGGCAAGTGTAGCTCAGGAGCAAGCTCCTGTCCCTCACTGACTGTCCAGGCAGGAACACCCAACCCATTCCTCCTCTGGTTCTTTGCCATGTTCCCTGAAAGGCCAACTGTGTGTTGCAGTCATTGTTTGACTTACCCTAGACTGTTCAACTAAATAGCTAAGTATACTACACTGGTGAGCTCAGAGCTTTAAATCGTCTGATTTCAGAGGGTTTTTTAGAAAACAGAGGTAATAGATCTGTTTGTTCCTTTAGACATAATGAAATCTAAAAGCAACCCCGACTTCCTCAAGAAAGACAGATCCTGTGTTACCCGGCAACTCAGAAACATCAGGTCCAAGGTAAGAAGGGTGCCCCTGCTGGGGGCTTGAAAATGGTGGGAAGAGGAGACACAAGGCCTAGGCATTGGCCAATCCCAAGCCCACTACAGGCCCCAGGTCCAGGCACCAGTCCAGCCCTATTATGGGCTGGTTCTGGAGGCTTCAAGTTTTGCATTTTTTGTGTACTACTTCCTGACCACATCAACAAAGGCCAGGGCACAGAAGAATCAGCTTTATTGCCTTCTAGGCTAGCCTTTATTCCAGCCCCTTCTAAAAGCAGCTCCACTGTCCTATTGTTGTATCCCTGTGTGCCCTGGTCATCAGACTGACAATGTGTCTTTGAGAGACCAAACTGTCTACCCTCCCTCCCCAGCTATGCAGTGGCCAGTTCCCAGGCTCTTCCCAGTGTCAGCCTTGTGTCTCCAGGGTGAAGGGTGGAGGGGATATGGCCAGCATGCTGCATTAGGATTGATTGTGTGTGTGTCTTATTTTTGCTTTTTCCTCTGACAGTCCGTAATTGAGCAGGTCTCATGGGATAACTGACTCGCGTCCGCTTCCAGGTCCCCAGTCGTGTAGGTAAACCACTTCCTACCACCACCCACGGCCTGCACGGGGCGGCTCTGCATGCACTGCTCACACCTCCACAGCACACACCTTCATAATCGTTACTTTATTCCATTTTTCTCAGCAAGCACACACAAAGTCCATGAGATGTCCCAGTAGCTGTCCTGGGGAGCTAACTGGCACTCTAACCCCTTCACAGAGCTGAGCCGACCCAGCTAGGTGGGCAGGTGTGATCTCTGCACAGCCCTGAACTCACACACCTTCTCTGGAAACAAGCCATTTACCCTGTGTCAAAATAGGCAGTGGCAGAAACCTGCTGTTCTTGGCAAGTGAAGACTTCCCAGGAGCTCCTGACACATGGAGCTGGTCCTCACTGCCCAGCTCTTGTTCTCTCCTCTCTTCCTCCTCTCCTCCTTCCCTTCTCTCCCCCTTCCCCCCCCCCACCCCGCCCTCTTTATTCAAGAAACTGAGCAGCACACCATGTGCAGCAGCTGGGGGAATGGCTGAGTAAATGGCCTGGTGACCACATGTAGGGAGGATGAGTATCAACTGCCCCCTTTTTTTTGTTTTTTCTTTTGGTGCCAGTCCTGGGGCTTGAACTCAGGGCCCCAGGCACTGTTCCTGAGCTTTTGTGCTCAAGGTTAGTGCTTTGCCACTTGAGCTACAATATCACTTCCAGCTATTTTTTTTTTTTATTTAGAGATGAGTTTGTGGGCTTTTCTGCCCAAGCCGCTTTGAACTGTGATCCTCAGAGCCCAGCCTCCTGAGTAGGACTACAGGTGTGAGCTACCAGCACCTAATAAGGAATCATTTAACAACATGATAGGCTTGATTCTTAGGCCTCGTGGGAGATGCCCTAATAAAGGTGGTAGATGGGTGGAATCCACCTGTTTGAGGAAGAACAGCAGGAAGGTGCTGTGTGGCTGCCACTCAGTGGCTTTGACAAGGACGCACAGCTCAGGGAAGGCACAGTGCTGCCCTGCTGACAGTACCCAGGTGCCAGCTCCTGCACACCAGCTTACCATTTCTCCAGCCTCCTGGCCACCAGCAAGAGACATCAGCCTGAGGCTTATATGAAAGGAGTTGCCTTTAGGAAGAGCACAGAACACCCAAGGGCTTTAGCCTAGTTGTGTTGAGTATTCTCCAATCCCAAGTCATTTGTACCTAAATGTATGACTGAAAACTTAAGTCTAGGGGCTGGGAAGTTGGCTCAGTGGTAGAGTGCTTGCCTTGTATGCCTAAGACCTGGGTTCGATTCCTCAGCACCACATAAGAAAAAAGCCAGGAGTGGCACTGTGGCTCAAGTGGTAGAGCCCTAGCCTTGAGCTGAAGAGCTGAGGGACAGCGCCCAGGCCCAGAGTTCAGGCCCCACGACCAGACCCAAAAAAAAAACAAAAAACTTAAGTCTAGGCTTAAACATGACTTTAAAAAAAAAGTCCAGGTGTATTTAAGGAATGCATATATAAGCTAATAAAAATATATGTAACAAAAAAAAAAGTAAAAGGAAACCTGTTCTAGGCTCAAAGCTGATGAATTCAGCCATTGCCTTTGAACACTTGAAAACACTTGGGAACTTGGTGTTCACTGGGTGATTTGGGCCTTTGAATAAGGCCTAGAAACAACTGGAAGCGGGGCGGGGACACTGGAGGAAACAGTGCTGTGGGGTTTCCAGGCATGTACATGACCCCGGGCAGGGACATGTAGACAGGCAGAGGGCTCAGCAGCAAAAGTCTGGCTGGTGACAGTGCTGGATTCTGGGAGCAAAGGGCTGAGAAGGGCTGCTGGGATGAGTCCCCACTTACAGGGAAGATGAGGGCAGGGCAGAGGGAGACCTAGAGACAACGTCCCATGGTGCTTTCTCAGGTTTTTAGGGAGGGTGGGTTATTTGGTGTGCAGGGCATGCTTGGGCCCAGCAGAAAGACAGAGCTGTACAGCCATGCTGAGGACACCAGGTACTCTGTGGGGCTGTCAGAGCTCCCTGAATCCATTTGGAGCCTTCTTGTAGTCTCACATAGAGACAGGAAACAAGTTGGCCAAAACTAGCCTCCACTGATGCTTTTTTATATGGTCTCTGCTGTGCCCTGACTGGTGTTTTCCAGGAATATTCTTTCCTGCCTCACTCAGTGCTGTAAGTCAAAGCAAGCTAGTTGCTTACCAGCAGCACAGCCTATTCAGAGACTCACAGCAGAAATAGGTAGCTTAATTCTGCTGTGAGCTTGTGGGGGCCTGTATCTGAGACTTGTGGGGTAGAGGAAGTATGAGCCCCAAAGGGAGCCAACTGTACCCAAAGCCTACAAAAGCAGTACCCCAGGAGGGTGGCAAGAGATGAGCATTGCGGGGATGCAAGGGGCAGCAGGGTTTGGCCTGCTTTCTACCCTCAGAATTATGAGCATAACCAGCTGAGCTTACTCTGCCTGTGAGCCGTCCAATGCCTACTGTAGCCTGGCCCTATTACCTAGCTTCTGTTGCGTATGCAGGGAGAAGTCTTGGAGGACTGTCTGCGTGTGTTTCAGGAGCAGCTGCTGACTGAAATCCTAACTGAAGGTCCTATAGCACTGAGCACTTAAAGCAGTACAGGCCACCCCAGCCATTCTCCAGCTGACCTGTCCCAGCAGGGACTTAGTGCCAGGCTGCCTGTCCTGGGGTGACTGGATGTTCTGCTCTGTGCTGGCCAGCTCAGTCTAGCCAACATGGGACATCTTGAGACAGGGGTCTCAAGCAGGTATACACCTACTCATAAGCAGTAGTACCCCAGAACAGAAAGCACTCAGAGCTCCCCTCTTTCTTCAGCCCAGGAGGAAGCTGAGCCCCAACCTTGGGAAGAACCATGAGCTACCCCAGTGCTAGGGAGCCACAATTGTGTGGGGGTCCAGCAGGTAGTTTCACACTGCCCTGAATTCTGCCTAAAACTAGTCTGAGTGGGAAATAACTTTGGGTTCCTATTTAGTGGTAAAGCCTGTGCCTTGTCAGCTCTGTGTGGGTGAGACTCAAACAGCTTATGAGGCTGAGCCTGCTGCTGACCACTAATACAGGAGTTGGCACTGTGAGAAGCCAGGCCCAGCTGAAACCCAACCAGCTTTCTAAAAAGTGTTGCTGTGTTTCTTGTGCGGATGAAAATTTGTAAGGGTAAATTGGGAAGTAACCTCTCCTGTTAGCAGCCTGTCCTTTGTTTGGGGACATCTAGTATTCCATGTATATAGACTTGTTGCTTCTCCATTCCAGAAAGTGTCAATAGAACACAATGACACATTCCTAAACCTGCAACATCTAGTGGCCCCATCCCTCAGTTCCCATCAGAAAAAAGCTTGAGGTGGGGCAGGGGCAGCCCCAGGGAGCAGGACACCCATCCTGACACAGGTGGTCAGGTTGGTAAGCAGAGGCAGGGAGGTGCCCACATGCACACCAAGGAAGGTGGTGGAAGCAGCACAGGGCCTTCCCCAGCCGGGCCAGTCTGCTTGCTGCTCACAATTCCACAACTGCGCTGCTTAGACACATCCTCATTTCTCTTGAGTTCTCCATTTTCCATCCAAGTGAGAGTCTGCAGGAAAAATGCATTCCACCAGTAACATTTCACAGGGTACTGTGCCCAGCATGCCCACTAATCAATCTCAGGAGACTGCCCCTCCGCCTCTTTGTCTGCGCCTGCACACCCAAACCACTTGGGCACCCATGTCAGTGAGTTTAACACCGCTTCTCCTTCCTGCCCTATCTCCACCAGAGTCTGAAGGAAGGCCTGACGGTGCAGGAGCGTTTGAAGCTCTTTGAATCCAGGGACTTGAAGAAAGACTAGCTGCGTCCTGGTCCACTCAACACGCACTCTTCCCAGCTGGCAGCGGCACAACCCGAGCGTGGCTTCTTGTCTGCACCTTTGTTTTTTATTGTACTGTCAACGTTAGCTGTGGGTATGGATGCATGAGAGACTGGTGTATGGGTTGTCTGCACCATTCCCTGCTGTGTTGGTTCTGACTTCCCGTTGTCTTTATCACAGCTTTTTCCCATGGTATTCCAAAAGTAGTCAAGCTCAAGCAGTGGGGTGAGCAGCGCCCTCCCGCTGTCCCAGGGCACTCACTGTCAGTATTAAGGCACAGCAGCCTGTTGATAAGCTAGCCCTGCCTCTGAGCACAAGTGCAGGAAGCTGCCTGTGGCTCTGCTCTGCTGCACGAGCCTGAGCACTCACAGATGGACACAACCCCGCTGGGCACAGCAGAGCCACCTGGCTGTCTTGGTTTGGCCTACGGTGGCTCGCCAGCCTGGTTGTTAGAGGAGGAGGAGGCCTGGGGTGGGGGTACAGCCTACAGGCATTGCCTTTTTGGCCTGGGAGGATAGCATTTTGTATTTGTTCCACTAATGCAGCTTAGAACCACGCCCCAGATAATCCTGGCAAACCTTTCACAACCTGGAAAATGTTGAAAGCAACCATTCCTATTTTTGTTTTTTATTAAATCTTGCACAAAACCCCTGGCCCTCTCATTCCTTCCACCGCCCATGCCTCCCCTGTTCTGCAGTCACTCTGTCTTCCAGCTGCTGGGATTGGTGGCCTGCAGCCTGGGGCTTTGGCTGCCAGAAGTGAAGAATTCCTTCAGGAGCCTCCAGAGGGGAGAAGGTTGCTGGGTTTAAGTCTTCCTGAAGGAAAACTCATGCTTTTGAGATGGCCCAAGAGGAGGTTCCATTCAAAGTCAGGAAAGTCCAGTGGGTGGTCAGAACCCAATGAGAGCACAGCCAACAGACCGTGCTCAGGACTCCAGTTGATCATGGCTCTGGAAAAGTTCCCTTGTGGTATCAGCTTGTGTGTGGTAAACCCTAATGTGAGCCAGTGCTAAAAGTTGGCTTTTCTAACAGTCTGAGTAGGGCCTATTTCCTGCCCAGAACAATCTGCAGCACTTTTTGAAAAGCTCTTGTTTCTGTTCTAGTCCTGCTAAGATGCAAACACAAAGCCCCAGCTGCTAGGTCCACTGACTCCAGGCCTGGAGCTCTCCTTTGTGCTAATGCAAGGGTTGGTTGGATTGTCTCTGGGGACATGGATACTTGGAGAGAGAAAAGTACAGAAATTCTTGGTCAGTTTCTAGATGAGTTAATCAGGCTGACTACCCCCAGTGAGTGCAGGAGGAGGACCGAACCCGGGAGGTCAGAAGGCTGTGGCTCACCCTCTGTGCTCTCCTCGCTGGGATGCACACTGCTTTGCTACTGTTCCATGTTCCCAATAGCAAGAGCAAATCAGATGTGTTTAACAATCTATCAGATCACCAGTGTTTTGAGAAATGCCAACATGGGAATGTGCTGGATGCACTGTGCATGTGTCTGAGGACTAATGCTTTCTCCACTGAAGCATGGTTTATGGTTCCTTGGTGACCTCCTCCTCCTGCATCACTTTTGATGAAAGCAGGTCCACCACAGGTAGAAAGAGCCCTTGTTCTTGTCATCATTTTCTCTTAGGAAAGGAACTTGGGGTTTGCAGTATATGAGGGTTGGAGTCAGGAGATAAACAAGTGGGCACCTGCGCTCCACCCATCTTGCTAGTCAGGGTTCCAGCTTCACCCCAAGAGATACGCTGCCTAAAAGGCTGGTTCAGTGTGTGGGGATGACCAGGAAAAAACACTGGATATATTCTGGCTCCTCTCTGGCAAAGAGCTGGCAGCCTGGGCAGCTGTGAGCAGTGACACGCAGGGATGGCTCCTTCCTGGGTCAGGATGAGTCTGTTTTCTGCTGGACAGTCCTGTCCTCCAGCTGGAGTAACCAGACAGGAAAGACAAGGTGGCCCAGGTGCATTCCGGAGGGAAGAAGAAAGAACTGAGCATGTGGAAGTGGACTGTGCAGTGGCCAGGAAGGTCCTTCTCCAGGCTGCCTGGGTGGCAGGGGCTGTGGAGATGACTGGGAGCCTCAGGCTGCTCCTATAACAGGATAGCCATGGCAGGGTTTCCCTCTTTACAGCAAAGGGAATGGTGAGAGGCATACATTTCACAGTTCTGAATGTTTTCTTGTGAATGCTCATTTGAAATGGGCCAGGAGCCTGCAAGCAAACCATGCCAGGAACAAGAGCACAAGCACACACAGAAGCGTCATCTGCATGGGATGGCAAGCAGGAGACACTGCTTCAGGGGGTCCACTGGCCAACAGTCTCCCTAGTAAGAAGCAGAGCTGCAGGCAGTCTGGAGGAAACCAAGTTGGAAATGTGGGCTCAGTGAGTCAGCTTAAGACAGAAGGGCCCTCAGAGACAAGCCTGCCCTGGGAAAAAGTGTGCAACTGTGAACTAGGCAAGAGGATCACAAATTTGAGGCCAGCCTGGGCAATTCAGCAATGAGGCAGGTAGTATGTCACTCTGTGGTAGAGAACCTACCTAGCAAGCGCAAGGCCCAGGGTCAATGCACCAAAGTTTTGACACGTGAACATGTCCATGAGTCTAACTGACCACTTGACAGGATTTGGTGGACGTGTGGAAGGACAGCGTGCCTGTACCCGCATGAAGCATGCCAAGGAGTGAGTGCAGTCCTTTTTACCTCTGCCTGGTGCCCTCCCAAGGAGGTACCTGGGTACCACGTGGCCAGAGCCTGAGGCCAGGGATGGTATCCTAGCCTGGCAGGATGTGCCAAATCCCTGCACGCACATCCCTACCAACAAGCTGTCTCTAGAACTAAGGCTGGATATGCACTACCAGGCCTCACAAAGCCTGATGTCAGGGAAAGGTCTCAAAGCGCAATCTGGAGTCACTGTACCTACGTGTACACATCTGATACAAGCCATGAGCCCGCAGACTCCTACCTGTACTTAGCAGCAGATGAACACTGACGCTGCAGCAACAGCACTGGTCCCTTCTGGAAAAGGGAACATAGGCCAGCGCCTCATTTGCCTGCGTGCAGAAGAATGCCGGTCCTCTAGAAAGTGGTCTCACCTCTCTAGACACAGACGGCACTGGCCTTCTGAAAGTGGAGTCCACAGGACGAGAGAGCCACTGCACAACCCAGATGTGTGGGCTTGTTTTCCTCAAACTTTCCTGTATGTGGGCTGAACGGGGCAAGTAGTATAAATACTGGTGACAAGTGACTGCAGGGATTTTTGTGACAAAGTTTGTGTGGAATTTTTTTCTTTTTTAGTTTTTTATCATGACACCCCTTTCTCAAGATGGGGAGGAAGCACTGAGTGCAGCCTTGTACTCTACGCAGCATTTGCAGAACAGAAGTTAATGACTATCTTTTTTTAAAGCCTTGCCACTGAAAGTTTTAAAGAATCTGTACAGCATCTAAGGATCACCACCCATCACACCCACACTTGTTCACTAGGAGAATTAGTGTTCTTGTTCTTGGTAGAATCCTTCAGAGTCCTCACATAAACGCAGGGAAGTAAGGGGAAAGGTCTGCAGGTAGAGACCTGTCAGAGGAACCGCAGCTGAAGACACAGGCCTCTGGTGGCCTAGGCACCACACCTAGTTTCTCACAGCTTTAGGCTGCTTAGGGGCAGGCTTTGCAGAGCAGCTATCTAGTTACAGCTGATCGCACAGTGGCAGTCTCAAAGCTTCCAGTGTGTTTCTGCACTTCACCAGAGCTGTAGGAGGATCCAAGGTTCACTGAGAGCTTGGGTTATGATTTCCATATTTTTGTTTGTTTTTTGGTAGGACATGGGGCTTGAACTCTGGGCCTGAGCGCTGTCCCTCAGCTCTTCAGCTCAAGGCTAGCGCCCTACCACTTGAGCTACAGCACCAATTCCGGTTTTCTGATGGTTTATTGGAGATAAGAGTTTCATGAACGTTCCTGCCCAGGCTGGCTTTGAACCGCGATCCTCAGATCTCAGCCTCCTGAGTAGCTAGGATTACAGGCGTGAGCCACTGGCGCCTGGCATTTTGATTTTCATGTTTGACAGAGCCTTCCTGGCGCACAGTTTAAATTCAGTGTAAAGAAATGAAGTTTGGGGAAACGGGTATCACCAGATTCAGAAAAATCTTCTGCAGCCTGCTATGGTCAACATGTCCTGAGTTTTTTTTTTGTTGTTTTCTGTTGTTTTTTGGTTTTTTTTCCATTTAGAAGATAGCCATATCACCTTGCTGGTTTTATTTTAGCAAAGAATAGATTGTAAGAACTCTAAATTCATTATTGTGTTGTTGCACAAAGCTTCAATTGAAAGAATATTAAATGATTTTAGGAGTTTCCTTTGAATGTATCTACTGCTCAGATTTAAACTCAAGTCCATGGTGATATTTATGAAGCATAAACTACCCAGTGGCTCCTGGACAATCCAGTCTCAGTGACCTTCCATACACTGCCCTCATATCAGGGTGAGTGTCTCAGCTCCGTGGTCACAAATCAGACTTCCAGCTGAGGGGAGGAGTCATCCATGAAGGAAATGTACAGACCACTTCTGCTATCCATTCAGCTGTCACAATAAAGGTTCAAACAACAAGCTCAAACCATCTCAGCTGGTGTTTAATTTCTGTTCAAAAACTAAATGATTTTTGTTACCACACTAGAAATTATATGCAGAATAAAGGTTCAATGAGTGGAGCCAGCTCTCATCTCAGGTCTGAGAAACCCCTAGGGCTGCGGAGCTGAACACTGAGCAGACCTGAGCTTGCCCTACCCCCACTGACAATTCAACACTTTCTGGTCCAGCTTTTGGCTTTTTTCCTACAAGCTTGTGATCAAGTGTTCACTACAACTGAAGTGCTGCTTTATTCACGATATTTATTTCTCTGTATGACATGCTAGTCCTGTGGCTGATCACTCTTTGTGAATATCCCTCCACTTTACATGAGCTATATCATAATAAACTATTTTTGCATCACCCTTGGCGTGCTGTGTGAGGAGTGTTCACTGACATGTCTGCCACATACCTTTAGGTCACAAGTCAGAAACTGATTGGCAGCTTACCTATTATCTAGAGTGGGGTGGGTTTTTTAAAGTTTTCTAACCTTTTTATTTTCCATTTAAAAAACTTTACAGCCTCAAATTCATTGTGTGCGTGTGCGCGTGTGTGCATGTGTTGCAAGGGATTGAATCCAGAATGCTTGGCAAGCACTCTACCACTTGAGCTATGCACCCAGCTCTTATTTTGAGGGGATAGGATCTTGCTTTGTCTAGGCCCAGAAGCTGGAATTACAGGCAGTGTGCCATCACACTAGGCTACGTTGTTTTAAATAAGGAAGACTTCACATAAATTCAGCTTTTATATGTTCACATGTAAGCCACAATAAAATATCTTACATCCAGAATCTAAAAACTTTTAGGGGCTATTAAAACACAGTAAGAGATTCTGATGGTGCCGCCCTCATTAGCCAGGTTCTATAACTTTTCCACCCTGCCCCTCTTATTATTTAAAGGAACTGTGAACCCAAGGTGTCTAGCATGCTAGACAGTCACCCTGCCTCCCTCTGAGCCACATTTCCCAGCCCTGAAGTGAGGCCTAGTCTGGCCTCCCTGCAGTCATCATGTCTTGCCCTCTAACAGAGTTGCAGTAAAATTGTATCTTGT